CCCAGCTCTGGGCCTGGCCAGTCCTGTTTATTGGCTTGGGAGGTCCCGGCGGGTCCCAGATCTGGGCCTGGTCTAGTTCCGGGGCTGGTGGATGCTAGGAGATCCTGACTCTGGGCCAGGTAGATTTGGGTGGATGCTGGTTCTGGGCCTGGCAAATCCAGGCAGCACCAGGCTCTGTGGTCACTGAGGTAGCTGCAGCTGGGCCCAGGGCACATGAAAAACTTGATGACTCTGCACATTGGAAGCTTATTTATAAACCAAGCCCTCTCCATCAGCGAGGCAGCTGCACAGGCGCCAAGTCAGCAGGTCGGGGGTGGCCAAGCCATCCACACTGGTTCAGGCCCCGCGTCCTATCTGACACGCAGGGGCTGCAGACGCTCACTTTCAGCTGGAAGCTGCAGGGCCCTGCAGCAGGACATCAGCTATGCTGGGATCCCTAAGGTTGGGCCTCACGCTCCAAGGGGCTGCCTGGGTCCCTCTGACTCTGCTACAGTAGCTTCATTGGCCAGACATTCCCTACTGAGCAGGGCCTTCACACGGGGCACGGTGAGGGCCTTCCGTCCCTTCAGCCCTGGAGCAGCAAGCTGTCCCCAAAACAAGGGGCCTGTCAGCCCAGAGCCTTTGGACCAGGCCCCTGCTGGGTCCCTCACTTCCTGGCTCACCGGGAAAGCTCCCATGATCTTTTTAACTCAGTAGGTCTCAGGGGATTCCTAGGTCTGGAATGACCCCAAAAGTGAAGCTGGACCCATTTTTAGTGCCAAACTCAGAAGTTCCCTGCTCCATCAGAAGACAGGTCCCCATCATGAGGCGGGGCCTCGCCACAAAACCATAGAAGTGGCAAAATACTGTCAGACCCCCCCCCTTCTGTGCCCCTTCTCCAACCCCAATTGAAACATTAAGGTCCTTCACCCTAAAGTTTTAAGGTTTTCACTCCTCCCAGGACGACGAACGTTTTAAAAGCTAGTGGAGGGGAATATACGGGCCTGTAATAGCAAAATTTCACAAACCCTGACAGGTGGGAGGATAAACATCACGGTCCCTTGAAGTCACACCATCCAAGTGAAACGCAGCAGGAATCATGTTGGATCAGTCGTAGGCTCTGGGTTTGAAGTCTGGCTCTGCCAACTTACTAGCTGTCTGACCTTCACTTCCCCTGGCCTCAGTTTCCTCATCTGTAAAATTAAATTGGATTGGGCTAGAGAAGATCTTCAAGATCCCTTCCAATTCCAGATCTGAGATCCTTATTTTGCGGCTCTGCCTGTGGCCTAACTCCCAGCCTTTAAGCACAGGAAAAGCACCACATCTGGAGTCAGAGGACCAGGGTTCAGATCCCACCCTGCCCCTTCCCCCACTACCTGTGTGATCTTAGACAAGTCACTTGCCCTTTGAGGGTCTTAGATCCTCACTGGTAAAATGGGGGGGCTGGATTCGATGATCTCAAAGGTCCCTTCGGGTTCTAAAGTCTTATGACCCAGGAGGAGAAAAGTGAGTCACCCCAATGCCTTCACTCAAGTCTTTCCCAAGATGTCTGGGATTGTCAAGGTTTCTAAAACTCAGCCTGAGAGCCGCTGGTGCTCCGGATCAGGCGTGCAAACCCTCTCCTCTGTTCCAGCCGGCTCCACCTGCTTGCCCTCCCATGCCCGCAGCATGCGCCATGGGCCTCAATGCGCAGGGTGCACTGGGCCGTCCTACCACAGAGGTGGCTGCGGCTTCGAACACAGCAGCGACATTGGGAGAATTGACGCTGTAAGGGTCAGGAACCCTGAATTAAGCAGGCGGCGGGCCAGAGCGCCGGCCCTACATGCAGCCACTGCTCAGGTGAGTCATTTAATCTTGGCATTAGATGGGTTCTAAAATCCTGTCCTGTTCTAGAAGTATGAGTCCAGCTCCCGTTCCTTTGTTCAAGCTGTTACCCCTTGCTGCCGTGCCTTTAGTCCTTGTGCTCTGGATTGTAAATGGAGAGCTGGAAGGGCCCTTAGAAGTCCACATCCAACCCCTTCATTAATCAGATGAGGAAACTGGCCCAAGGTGAGATAGGAAGTAGCAAGAGCCAAGATTTGAACTCAGGTCCCCTGACCCCAAATCCAGAATTCTTTTCACTGCATTGTTCACCCCTCCTTCAGGACCTAGCCCAGGCCATATAGCTGAGAGCTAAGAGGAGACTGTCTACTCCAACCTCCATTTTACAGATGCAGAAACTGAGGCCCATTGAGGTGAGATACTTGCCCAAGGCCATGTAGAGTCGTTAAGCGGCAGAACTGGGAACCCAGATCTTCTGCACTCCCTGCCTCCACTCCCCCTCCCCCATGGAACCCCCCAGCCCACCCCCTTCTCCTCCAGCTGAATTCCTTAGAGTAGGATGGTCCTGACTGTTGGCTGGGTGGCATCTGGTGTCCCCCTCTAGGCTCTAAGTCTTGGAAACCCAGGGTGTATTTGTGGGTTCATGCCAGGCTCCTGGAAGAGAGGGCACTGAATGTGGAGTCAGAGGACCTGGGTCCAAAGCTTTCGTGCCTTCACTCGCCTGGGCCTCAGTTTCCCTCAGGTGTAAAACGAGAGAGGTTGGACTTGCTGACTTTGGAAGTCCCTTGCTGCTGTGGGACGGCCGAGGGGCGAGGGAGGGGGCCCTCCAGGGTGGTCAGAGGCTCCTGATTCAGTCCAGCTCCCAGGAGACGCACTGCCCTGCAGCCCCCACCCCCAACAGCTGTCCCTGTTTCCAAATCAGCAGGGTGGCCGCCTGAGAAAACAGGAAGCACGCAGTTACCACAGGAAGTGTGTTCTCCCTCCTCCCCCACCCAGCCCGGCCCGGCCCATTGCAAAACGCCAACAGAACAATTGCTCCAGGAGGCTGCGGCCGCCGGGAAATGCACGCTGGAGACCCCGGCGGTGGCCGGGCCGCACCGGCCTGGGGCCTGGGCCTCTGCTCCCACAGCCCTGCTGCCCCGCCCTCCCCAGGCCTGGAGCAATGTCCAGTGCCTGGGACCCACAGGGGGAAGCGATTCTGCTCCCGGGCCCTGGCCATGACCTCCTCCTTGACCTCCGTGCCAGGGCCCAGAGCCTCCCACAGAGACGGGTTTCCCAGAAGAGGCGCAGCTCACCTCCATCACTGGGGGAGGTGGGATGGGAGAGGGTGTGCCCCAGCTGGTCCAGGCCCCGCCAAAGTCAGGACCCAGCCCTCGGATGTCCCTGGCCCTAGGGCACCCGCTGGCAGATTCCTGGACGCCACACCCTACGTGGCCCGTGGGTCCAGTTCAGCCCCATCCCCCCATATGCCCACCCCCTTGGGCATCTGAGGATCCAGGTCCCACTTTGGAAGGAATCTTCCCCCCCTTCCCCTGCCTGCTCCTCTCCCCCACCCTCCACCACACTCACCTCCCTGTTTCCTGCCCCAGGAGGCCAGCATTCAAGGGCAAGTGGGAGACGGGGGAGCAGCCCCCTGGAAGCCCCGGGACCCAGGGCCATGGTCTCCCGTGCTCTCCGAGGGCCCTGAGGGACAGTGAGGAAAGAAGAAGAGGACAGAGCATTTCATGGTGTTATAAATCAAAGAGGGAAGTCGGGACAGGAGAAATAAGAAACTTCCCTCCTACCCCCCGGGTACTGGGACCTGCCAGTCGGCTGGGCCCAGCCAAGCTCCCCCTGGGGCTCCCCAGCTTCCCTCCTCCAGGCAGGCCCAGGAGTCAGCGGTGCTGCCCCCCAGGAAATCTCCCCTGCCTCCATCCCTCCTCTCTCCCCCCAGTCCAGGATGAGCTCCCTACCCCAGCCAGGCCTCCCTCTCCTCTTTCTCTCGTCTCCCCCACCCCTTCCATCTCAGGTCACTGAAACCTGGGGGGCGGGGGGGACTGACAGTTGCAATGGAGAAGATGAAAGAGAAAGAAAGCAAGAATTCCTAGTGAGAAACTCTGGGCTGGGTGATGGGAAAATCTTGAGTGAGAGGCAGGAGAAGAAAGAACAATCTGTCATTCACTCATGCATCAATCAGACTTCCGTTAAAGCTTCCTCTCAGGCCTGGTCTGAGAAGATCAATATGTATGTATATTGCGAGGCAGTTGGGGTTAGGTGACTTGCCTAGGGTCACGAAGCTAGTAAGTGTTCTGTCTGAGACCAGATTTGAACTTAGGTCCTCCTGACTCCAGGGCTGGTGCTCTGTACACTGCACCACCTAGCTACCCCAATTCAATGTCTAATGTGGAGAGAGGACAACTGACCACTCAGTGCATGCAAGGACACCGTGCTGGGTGCTGGTGTGGCTGGGTGGGGCCAGAGAAGAAAAATGCAAATAAGATACACAGTCCTGCCTCCATGGAACTTGCAGTCAAGGTAACCTACCCCAAGCCCAGAATCCACTGCCTGCCAGCCCCTGGGGAAGTTAACGCACTAAGCCTTGGAGTTACTGCCGGAGGTGACTGAGGTGTCTGGTGATTGCGTCTGAGCTAGCCCTCAATCTACCTACCCTCTTATTGGCAAGATCGCCCTCATAGCCAGTCCGACTACCCAGGCCATCTCTTGCTCTGCCCGCTAGCTACCCTCCGTCTTCCTGGCTTTTCTCTCTTTCCCTGGCCGCTGCTCTCTTCTGTGTGTCGTCTTCTTCTGTTGGGGCATAAGCTCCTTGAGGGCAGGGACTCTTTTTTTTTTTTACACTTGCATTTCCCATACTTGGCACATAGTAAATACTTAAGAAATACTTCTTTCTTCCTTCCTCCTTTCCTTCCTTTCTTCCTTCTCTCCCTCCCTTCTTTCTTCCTTCCTCCCTCCCTCTTTCCATCCTCCCTTTCTTCCTTCTTCCTTTTTCCCTTCCTCCTTTCCTTCCTCCCTCCCTTTCTTCCTTCCTCCCTCCCTT